GCAGAGTGCCCTTGTTGCCAAGAAGGCTAATGGGATCTTTGGCATCTTTGGCCAGCAGGTCAAGGGAAGTGATTATTCCCCTCTATTCAGCACTGGTGAGGCCACATCTGGAGAATTGTGTCCAGTTTTGGGCTCCCCACTGAAGACAGGATGTGGACAAGTTGGAGAGAGTCCAGTGAAGTGCAACAAAAATGGTGAGGGGGTTGTGACACATGACTTATGAGGAGAGGCTGAGACAATGGACTCATTTAGTCTGAAGAAGAGAAGACTGAGGGGGATTTGATAGCAGCCTTTAACTACCTGAAGCGGGGTTTGAGAGAGGATGGGCTGGGCTGTTGTCAGTGGTGGGAGATGACAGAACAAGGAGCAACGGTCTCAAGTTGCAGCAAGGGAATTTTAGGTTGGCTATTAGGAAAAACTTTTTCACTAGGAGGGTTGTGAAGTATTTGAATGGGTTACCTAAACAGGTGGTGGAACCTCCATCCTTGGAGGTTTTTAAGGCCTGGCTCGACAAAGCCTTGGCTGGATTGATCTAATTAGGGATGGTGCTGCTTTGAGCAGGGGGTTGGACTAGATGACCTCCTGAGGTCACTTCCAACCCTTATTTTCTAGGATTCTGTGATTCTGTGACTGTTTCTATCTGATATTTGGTCAGAAGACTGTCAATCCTAGTTGCCTTGCATCATGCCGTTAAATACCTCAGTGTTCCCATACAGCCAGTTTTCCTACCACAGTATAGTTCAGAGGTTGAGATTCTGTAGGGCAAATGCTTATCAAATGATGAAAGGGAAAGGTGGACCAGGAGTGGTTAACGCATCAATTTTCATCATTGCAATCTGCCATGAGGGAGAAGGAGAGGAGGGCACAGTGCCAGCTTTCCTGAGTCGCTTTGCCCTGGGGCTGGCTTTGCTGTTGATGGAGCAGCTGGTTGTGGGAGTGGTGTCATGAGTGACATGGAAATTAAATGAAACCGAGCCACAGAAACTATGAAGAGGATTTACCAATGGTCTGCTTCAGGTGACTCGTTGAAGGCAGTTCCTCTGACTATGGCTTCTCTGCAATATATATCTTCAATTAATGGTTTATCATCTCCTGTATTGGCTGTTACTCCCTCCCTTCAGAGAGACAACCTGCAAGCTCAGCCCTTGCTTATAACCAAGCCAAAGCCACCACTGTGTTTCTGCAACTGGCAGCTGAACCTAGATCACTGGAGCAGAAGGAGAATGCAGGGGTGATCACAGTTGCAAGATGACCTCTCTAAGGGATTTCACCTGAGCACTCGCACAAAGCCATAGGAAGGAGAGATCCAAAACACAGACTTAGCCTTCTTGGAATAAATGGAGTTTCTTTTTCAAGGCAAATGTTGACCCCATTTAGCAGATGGATGCATGACTAACTTGCTGGTTACCTTTTTAGAACTTCCTTTTGTGGACTAAGACTTTCAGCTGTGAAAGGATTCAGTTGTTAACAAATTAAATTGTTTCTCCCAAGGTGCTAAGTCCTTGGTAGCAAGAGAAATAATTAGTTTATCCTTACTTGAAAGAGAGTGGGGGTGGCAAACAGAGCTATACAATATTTCATTGTGAAAGCTCCTGGCTATTTACAAGTAAAACCACTTTTTAATAAGGGGTAAGTAAGAGAAGTAGGAAAGAACGTTTTTCTACTTATGTAGCTCTCCAAACATCCGCTTATCCTTCCCTCCCTCTATTCCTCAATTACAGCATTAACAAATTCTCATCACACGTGACCAGTTAGCAATAGAAATGTTTCCACCAGATTTTTAACTCCACAATTATTACAGTTTTTGGGTTGACTCCTACTTGAGGCCAATTCTGTTCTCGTTTTCCACTAACGGAAATCCAGGGTAACTTAACAGAATTTAGTGTTGCTATGGCTAAGAGCAGAATGTGACCCTGTCTACGTGGGTAGTTGTTTAAGTCTTTTGAGGTGATGGCTGGTGGGCACTCCTGTTCTCCAGTGATGGATGGTGGACGAACTTAAAGCAGATAGAATCGGAGGCCATGGAAAGGCCTACAGTTTAGACCTTAGTATTTATTTTGACACCACTTGTCATGACACCACCATCAACAGAGTTTAGAAATTCATGTTTACTTAGCAAGAACCACAGACTTGCATACAAAACACAAAATGAGGCCCTATCAGCACAATGCAAAATCCACATATTATACCACATATAATTTGATACTCTAATGATACGGTATTTAATCCATGAAAGCACAGGTTTTTGAGAGGGCAGGGTGTGTATATTAGTATTCTATGGTATATCACTGTTTCTTTGGTCTTGTGTCTGGGATGATAGCATAGTGTCTGCATAGGGGTTCATGAGTTTAACAAGCATGATTTTTAGATGTGAAGAATGTCAGGAGCGACTGTGGTGTCTGGGAACTTGTAATGTACTGGCTTCATGCATGTTGTTATATCCCACTAGCAGCTGAACCTGGTGACAAAGGAGCCTGATGTTGAGTAACAGCTAACAGAGCTATTCATTTTGCTCCAGGATCAGGGATTTGTGCTTTTGGTGATGGAGGTTTTGTGCATATTCCTACACTCTTACATTTCCAGCTCTTCATTATAGCTACTAGTAGTTGTCAGACAACTAAGCTTTCCACATAACATGGCTTGAAAAGATAACAAAAAGACATTGTTCTGAGGGCCACTGTAGGGCCACTGTAGGGCTGTTGGAGTAGTTAGATGGCTTTTCAGCAAACCCTTCCCAGTGAAGTCAATGAAGGAGCAACCATGACTGCAGATCAACTCTAATATCCAGAGAGCAGTCCCTCTGAGGCTTCATCAAGTCACAAGTGAAATGAGCTGGATGGGTCACAGCCTGAACTTTCCTGCAAAGCTCTTCATCCCATAGCCCTGAGCAGCACAGCTGAATCATCACCCAGAAGTGTATTCATCCAGCCAGTGTCCTGAGGATGCTTTACACAAAACCCATTGTGCAGGGAAATGAGCTAAGGGCACATATTGCCCTTAACTATTCTGCTGAGTCCCCTAAAATGTAGCCCAGAGAAAGTTCTGGGTTTCGTGTTCAATCCTGGATGTAAACAAAATGGGAAGAGCAACCTTGAGCAGTATGAGCAGGGTTCATTCTTGCTTCCCAGGTTCACAAGGTCCTAATACAAGAGCCCCATGGCCAACCATGGAATGGGCACACCTTGGAAGTACTCTCCTCCCAACCAGTATGGACAGCCCATCACCAGCACAAGAGATGTTCCTCCCAGTCCATTGGAACAGCCCAGCTGGTAGAAAGGAAAAGGGGTTGAATGTGGGGTGGGGGTGTGGGTTTGGAGGATTCCATGGAGCAGTCTCTATTGTAAATGCACTGTGGCAGATCTTTGCCCTTAAATGATTCCCTTCATCCAGGTGTTCGCTGGCAGCCAGTTGCAGGGCATCTGAGCTCTGAAATCTTTTATAGATTCTTCTTAATCATGGATCAGTGGCTAAAAAAAATATTTTTGATTAAACATCTAATGAAGCAAAGCTTTAGGTTGTTTTTTTTCTATCTGTGCTGGATGTTAATAACTGCTAATGCTTCTTTTTCTTTGAAACAAGAAGCAGCTAGAGGATTCATTAAAAAAAGTAATTGGCAGGGAAGGAATTAGGTCTGTGAATGCATCTTGTATCCCTAAGAAAACACAACACGATTAAAAGAAAAGTTGGGGGTGGGGGGCAGGGAGGAAGGGGCTTAGCATATGGGTGGAAGCAGCTGTTGGGTCTGTGCATAGAGTAACCATGGAAATGCCAAGATTCCCTGATTTTTCATGTACTTTACATGACTTTGTTCACTGAGAGATGATTGTCCTTGAATGCCCCACACTTGGCCTCTCCTTCCCTTGCTGTCCCCAGCTGACCCAGGCACAGGGTTACTCCAGAGTCACTCCTGCCCCACTCCAAATGCGGGCTGTGACTATGTGGGGTGCCAGGCTCAGCAGGGGACAGTGCTGGTGGTATGCAGGTTCCTCCTTCCAATGCCTGCTCCGGGATGCCTGTGGGAGATGCTGGTGGGGGGGAAGGCAGGGAGCAGAGGCTGGAAGAGAGAAGCTGCATGCTGCCACTGCTGCCCCTGGCTGAGCGTGGAGCCCTGCACAGCTGATCCTTGCTGTGTGGAGCTGAAGGGGGCAAGAGTGACTCTGGACCCCACACTGTCCTCGGGTCAGCTGGGTATAGTGACAGTGGTGTTGGCAGGGACCAGGTCCCCCCCTTAGTGCACCTGCTCCCTACCTGGCTCTCTGGTATTCTCTGCCAATGTGGGGGCTCCTTTCACCCTTTCCCCTACCCCCTCCATGGTCTAAGGGACAGAGTATCACACTGCCCTTTAAGAAATCCTGCATCTGTCCATAGGCGAACATGACTGGCAAGTGTTGCTAAGGACTGCTGACTGGTGGCCTCAGATAGAGCAGGCCTCCTCTCTCCCATCTGTGGGTTGGCTCCTTTTTCCATTTGTTGTACATGTAGCAAACCGGCAGAAAATCAGCCCCAAATCCACAATGCTTCCCCCTATTTTTCTATTGTTTTTTGAAAATATATATAAAGAACAAGTCAGCGCGTGAAGAACGCCCAAACATCCCACTTCCACCATTCAGGGGACATAAACCCCACTGATAGGGGTATCCGCGTATGTGCAGCTGACCTCAGCAACCTCTCTTTACTGGAAACTGTCAGAAATGAGGTGCATTGTTGCTATGCTGGAGCTGGGCGAGGAGTGTGTCTATATACTTGCATGCTGTTCCTCAGGATATCCTTCCAGCTATGATATCTTGCCAGTGACCATTTCTGGGGTCTGATCTCTGGGAGTAGATTGAAAGGGCAATGGGTATGTGTTCAGCTGCATAGAGAGATTTCCTCTATTCTCTTGCTTCCCTTTCTATGCTGGCAAAGGGATCTGCTGCTCCAGATCTTCTCCCGAATCTGTGTCTGTGCCTGAGGTAAACCACGATTCTACACAATAAATATGAGTATGCCCTCTGTTTCAGATCACCTGTTAGCGGACTCCTATATCGGACAGGAGGACTCCCCTGAGATGCAGCAGGCAGCTCAGAACAAGCGCAGACTCTCTGTCATCTCTGATGGCAAGTTTGAGAGGAGCTTCTCTGAGGAGCGGGCCGAGAAGATCCCAAGTGAGGGGCCAAAGCCACGTGTGTACACAATCTCTGGTGAGAGGCCGATGCTGTCGGACCATGAGAGTGACAGCATGGAACTGGTGGTGATGAAGGGCACCGGGCAAGAGGAGTGTCACCATGGCCAGCCCCTGCAGAGTGCTTGCAGCTCTCACAACATCAGCAGGCATTGCAAAGGTTGGGCAGGAAGTCGGCAGGGCTCCAAGGAATGCCCCAGCTGTGCTCGGCTGGCAGCCTCCTCCCAGCACTCCTTTGACCTGGAGCAGCATCAGTCCAACGAGACAGGGTGGCGTAGGAAAAAGCTGGAGAGGATGTATAGTGTTGATCGTGTGTCTGGTAAGTGAGTGAAGGGACTTTGTGTTCAAAGGGCGCTAAAGTTCCTACTGACAGAGGCCACTAATGGACAACACATGTCTCCTGGCTTGAGAAATGAATCTGCAGGGAATAGGCCCTTGTCTGGCGGACTTGGTATTTCCCAGGAAGTGCCTCACTAGCCTGTTGTACCTGCATTCTGTTGAAAGATAGTAGGCAGAGATCAGGCTTAGAAATAAGTCGGGAGTCTGTTTGGCTGCAAGAGCTAACGTCCCAAAATAGACCACTCACAGCATTATATGGTCCTTATGTAGCTGAGAGGAGTCCCAGTGTTGGCTCCGCTCCCACTTACCAACAGCACAGTAACAGATTCCACCAAGGTCCTTAAGGAAGCCCGTGGCATAACCACATAAGTGCTGCGTGGCAGTGTTATAAAGACGCTATACAATCCTATAGCATAATGCTGCCATGAGTGGAATAAAGCAGTTCAGTGTCACTTTACAAAGTGATACTGTTCTACAGATACTAGATAGAGCAATATGCCATTTCACTACTTCTTTGATCTGTGGTCCATTTTCTTTAATGGCACAAGTGTCTTCAGGGAAAGTAACTTTACAATTTCCTCATTTGAGGCTGAGAAATACCTGATTTCTTTAAAATCAAAAACTCATCAAACTTGTCATGTCAATTCATATATCATGTGTATTACGTATGATGCAACACAGGCACCTCTCTCTCCTTACCTCTATAGTCCACGCTATTAAGTTGATGCCTCACTGGCCGTAAAAGCTGTGACTTAATTGACCTGACCTTTTTTTTTAATAAAACACAAAAGACTTTAAGAGCCAGTTGTGAAATTAGCTATAAGAGGGTCACGTTTTCAACAAAAGATCAAATATGCCACAAAGCTTCTGGAGTTGTTTGTTCCCTGGATCACAGCAATATCTCTGTTTGTAGTGTGTTATGAAGTTTAGACTAGAAGCCATATTTACAATCCTGTCTAGCTAAAATTAGGCACTTAAATCCATATATAAACTATTCTAAAGGAAGTGTCCTGATTTTCAAAGGTGCAGAACAGCTACCAACACACCTTTCCAAATTGAAGCATTTGTATTTGGGTACCTCTCAAATGCATTTCAGTGTTTCACCTTAGACAACCAGACATGAACATTTTGCTGTAGTATATTATTTTGGTTTCTTCAATACAAAAAATGAGAGATTTTCAGCTTTCTTTCAGACGTGTGTCTGACTTATTATTGTCTTGCATGTAATGACAAGGTGGAAAGGTTTGTGTGAAAACACAAAAACAACAAAGCCTGGTATTTTTGTCATGGTGGGACCCCAAACTGTCTGTGTGATTCAGTCCTGTTGGGATAGCACCCTGAGTGCTTTTCTGATAAATGGCAGCCACAAGAACTTTGAGTTAGGAAGGTAGAAAATGTTGGATGTTAAAACTTTGTGTGTTTTCATATCCTTTTTTTTAACATTAAAGCAAATGCGCTTCATGCTAATGGAGCTTGCACAGATTAAGTGAAACAAAACCATGAGCAAGGGCCTTAAAATTGTAGATGGCACAATTCCACCTCTAGGATTTAACATCACTGGGCAAGAAAACACCAAGGCAAAGAAATGCCAGGGTGGGAGAATTCCATTCTCCATTTCTACCTTCTCAGGGCAACCCTTGGGTGCCTGAGCTTTTTGATGCATACTTTCAGCTGGGCAGTCTTATTCATGGGGGCAAGTTGCCTTTACTAAATGAAGGCCGCCCTTCTGAAAATGTACCTCCAAGGATGAGAAAGTGGAAGTAGACTTATTACTCAGAAGCATTGAGTATTGGGCCTGACTCTGCAAATGTTTGTGTTAATAGTCCATACTCATGTGAGAAGCCCTGTGAAAGTCAATCATATTCATGCAGAGAAGTAATGATAATTGTGTGAGGAAGGGATTGCAGGATCTGGCTCATCATCCTCAATAAAAGGAGCAATTTCTATCTGCTGATGTAAACTGCCTCATTATTGCTCATGTATCCTTTTGTTTATTGAAAGCAAGCTGACTCCTGACATTTCTTGCACTGTCTTACTACTGTCAGATAAAGATCAAAATCATTCATCCCTGCCATCTTCTACAATGTAATGACCTACTCATGTCCTCTATAGATAAGAGTCCCGTGACCAGTCACGCAACATGAAGTGCATGTCACCCTGTGCCCTTGTGTTAGACAGCTGCCAGCTGACCTATGAGATTCCTAGAACTCCTTATCTTATAGGAGAAAGATTCTTAATTGGCAATGTAATGCGCTTCCCAGATCAAATCCCGTTATGCATACCAGCACCATGTTCTTTATGTTTCTCTAGCCTACTGTAATTTCACAGTGGTGCCCTGGTGTTACTGCTTAAGGAAAACCAATGAAAAAGAGCAGATATGCAATAGACTGCAACAATTATTTCATGGCGAGTCATTCACTCACGGTGAGAAAAAAGGCTATTGGAACCTCTGGAATAGCAATGCAAAAAATACATTCCCTCATTTCCCCAAAGTCTCCTCTGCAGCATTGCTTGTGCCCTTCAGTGTATGGATTCCAAGTACAAATTATTGTGGCAGGATCGTCCTGCTCACTACCAGTGCAGTTAAACATAATCTAATCTGGGGTCTTACACTGAGCTCATCTCCATGGTATCTGAACACCATTCCAAGCTGTTGTCCCCTGTGCAGCTGCTGACATCATGCTATAGCCACCTGCTAGTTGACATAAAGTAAAAGAAATGTTGAGACATTTTAGGCAATGTGGCTGGCTAATGTACAGAACATCCATGCTCTAGAAGTGTCCTGCACGTGCCAAATGCAACTGCATCACCCCTTAAATAGTTCCCTAGGCATGTGATCTTCACCCCTCTTGCATCAGACATTAGCAACAGCAGGCTCAGCTCTAGGCATTTAGTAGGGGTTGATGACTAGTTGAATCCTTCAGCTGCCATTATAAGCTTCCAAGTGATCATTAATCTCCAGGAGAAGGCCTGTGCTTTGGTTGTTTTTTGTTTAGACATGTCATATGACAGATATTTACAGAAAAGAGGAGCAAGCCCCTACGCTCCCTGCATCGCAGATTATAAGAATGCCTCAGGAGAACGTTTATGCTTATTACACCAAGGCTTACCATACTGTATGAGCTCTGGAGGTTGAAACAGGTTGGGTTTTTACCAGGCAGGTATGTCGGATACTTCCATGCTGCTCTGGTGCCTCAGTCCTGATACGTAGTATTGTAGCTGTGGTGGTCCTGGTAATATGAGAGAAGCAGGGTTTCTCTCTTATTGGACAAATTTGATAGTTGGGAGAGATGTTAGACAAGTTTTTGTGCACAAAATGCCCTTCTTCAGGCCTGGAAAAGAAGCAGATACAATCTCAGCTAAATTATCAAACAAATCAGGCATCACCCCTGGCTTACAGGGACCACTCCATGGGGTGAGCATAAAATCACCTGCTTTCTATATCCAGGCTATTCACTGAAGTCTTGCCAGGTAGTGTTGATTGTTGCTCATAATTTTCCTGTCATGAATTTGAACCAGTGACCTGGAACTGAACAGCTCCAAAGGTCACCATCCATCAGTCCTCTGCGGTATCTATCCCTAAGACAGGGGTGGCCACTGGCCAACCTGTGGCTCTGGAGCTGCATGCAGTTCTTCTGAAGTTAATATGGGTCTCCTTGAATCTTTGCACAAGCACATGGTGACCAGCTGCCATAGCTGTTATGTCACGTCATGTGCTGGTAAAAAGATTCAAGGAGATGCATATTAACTTCTGAAGAGCCGCATGCGCCTCCAGAGCTGCAGGTTGGCTGCCCCTGTGGCCTAGGAGGTCTTTATGTAATCATGGTATAAAACAAAATTCTGACCTTCCCCCCACCAATTGATTGCTGAGGGTTCAAGGCTTTCAAATTGAGATACACTGCTAAAGATCTGTGCTCCATTTGCCAATCATTTCCTGTTTGCAGATGTAATTGCATTGTAATAAGGACTAGGCACTTGGTATGTTTGAAAACAACTTTATATTTAAAAAGAGATTTCCTAAAAGTTTCTACACGCAGGTCTTGATGTATTTGATTAGCTGAGAAAGGGAAATCAATTATCATGGCTTTCTAATTAATTGTTCATGGAACACTAATGTATGTAGACTGATGAAAAGCACAGTTTGCAGCCACATTTTTCATGCTTGCAATGAACTGGCATGACTAGATTGGTACCTTATCTGCAGTCTATCTACTTAATGATCTATATGGTAGCTAGATGGCTATCTATTTGTGCTTGCAGAGCAGATGGCAAGATGTCTGATTATTAATGGTCACACCCACAATGAATTGCAGGGGGATTCAAAATGCATGTGCAGTTTTTGTGGCCACATATGGTAATTATGCTCATGAAGATGAAAGTTGGGTTGATTGTTCTTGATAGCAGCACAGTCACGACAGTGTTGGTAGATGAAGCTAATGTTCTTGAAACACTAATTTGTGAAGTAAGATATAGGAGCAATAATGTCTGGCAAGGTTGCTATACAAGGTATTCATGGAATTTGGGATGGACAGAGTTGAAGACCCAGTGTCCTCAACTCCTGAGGCTCTAGCTCCATGCTACTAGTATAAATGTTTTCTTACCCAGTGGCTGGTGATTTTTTACCGGAGAGGTTACAGTAGGGAGTCCCTGTTAGGATATAAACTAATCTGTTCAGGACTAATATGCCCGGGGGGGTTCTGAGCCTTATAATCCATCAGTGTTCGGAATTTCATTCCAGCAGTCCTGCTCCCCACAAATTGCTCTCTCATATCCCTAATGCTGATAATTTTTCCCTCTAACTTTCCTGTCTCAAAATATCCTTCTCTCAGATGGCACTGTCTCTTTCCAGACTAGTAATATATAAGGCAGACACACCTGAAAAGATCTAGCACAGTCCATGGCTATGCGTATAGTTCAAACACAGCTGGTCTCCCATCTTACAGAAAGTGTAAGGTATCAGATGTTGATGTTGAAAAAATGAGTAAGCGGAGAAAGCTGAAGTGGGTGATTCTTTCCTATGAATGGACAGAAACTCACTGCCTCCAAATGGGGTCTGACTGTTGAGGATGGGTGCTAAGAGACTGGCTGTCTTGGTAAGTTGTCACCATCACCAGCTAGAATCATCTGATCTCTGTTTGTCTGCTGAATGCTCAGGTTTTGCTCTTTCTCCTTCCAGATGATGTCCCCATACGGACCTGGTTCCCCAAAGAGAACCTTTTCAGTTTTCAAACTGCTACTACAACTATGCAAGCGTAAGTGAAACTTCTGCTGCAGTTCCCACCACTTTTCTTATGCTTAGTGCGTGGTCCATACATGATTGCATCTTAGGGTTTCAAAGTCTTTGGCAATCAAGCTTCGTGGTATGGGGTGAGGGCAGTTCTGGTCCTTAACTCCTTCATTTGCTTAATTACTTCTTCATTTTCTCATTCACTGATTCAGACTCATTCTTCACTCATTCATTTGTCCTTGCTGATTCAGACTCATTCAGTCTGTCTCTTTATTAACTTCTTTCTTGATCAGCTCTCTGACTCCTTTTGTGCTCTGTCTGTTGGGCACGGTGTCCTGGCTTGTAGGTATGTGACTGCTTCTACAGGAATATCAGCCAGGCACTTTAGATTTGCTTCTGTTGTAGCTGCCACTTCAGGTGAGGCATGAAACCAGGAAAGTTGTACTCTCATCACTGTTGTAGAAGGCTCTGCACCCCATGTCCTCAGCCTGGATCTTGCAGTTGAAAGAGCAAATCAGACTAAAATGCTGAGAAGAAAGGTTGCATCTGAATTAGGAACAGCCTCATTTCCTTTCACCTGCACCATGACTCAGATACCCTGAGAGGAAACTGTTCCCAGGGGTCTGTATAGAGTGGGAATGTCTCATTTTGAGGCCTTAGTCCACTTGTTGCAAAACATTTTCTTGCCTGCTTAATGAAATCCCTGAAATGTTTCTTACTGGACCTAAATTACAACCATCGTCTCAAACTAATGACTTGTGATGGGAGGGAAACTGAGGGAGCACCTTCCCCAGTCTAATGCGTTTTTCCCTTCCACCTTATTCTGTCCTGCTCCCTTCCCCTTGGCACAGACCTTCTCTGTCTCTGCTGTCACCCTCTCCCCTGCTTCTCCTTACTGCTCCCTTCCCAACCTGACCTTCTCCCTCTGTCGTCCTCCCTGATCCTTCCTATGCCTCTGTACTGAAGGGTGGGGGCAGCTCTGAAAAGAAGTCAAAAGTTTTTCCTGGGTTAACCCTGAAGCCAAATTAGAAATATAAGAGTGCTACTCTTTCATGGCAAGAACAGCACAGGAGAAGCTAATTGCAGAGAAGTGAGAGAGGTCTGTATCGGAGAACAGTTTACATCTACCACCTCAGCTGGCAGTCAGCATCACCTGGCCACACATGAACCTCTGGAGGGGAAGCACGTCCTCGATGGAGCCATTTAACTAGAACTGTCCATGCATTCATGGCACAACCTGTTGGCCAGACTTGTGCTGAGGGGAGTAGTGTGAACACATTGAGGGCATCTGCATTCTCTGTCTGTGTCCTTGCTATGGTGCTCTCCTTATATACCCCTTTGCCCTCTTCCTCCTTAGTGAACCCTTTTTACAGATAAGGCAGTGTGTGACACTCACTAGTGCCACCTGCATCACATGTGGTTTCCAAAGACAGGCTGGCACTGTAAATAATAATTTAGATAGCCTGCCAGCCAGGCAGAGAGATCTATGTAAAGACCTAGGTGAAATGTCTTAAAGGATGATTTAATACAGTTTTGTTTTGCTGTGAGAGAGAGCTGTTGGTAACAAATCCTTGCACTGAGCTGTGTTTCACAGATTTAATTTACTAAACCAAAAGCCCGCAAAACAGCCCTCTACCTCTGGCCTCAGGGAATGCCCTCTGGTGTTCTCTACATTTTGTCACCCTTGTCATGTGAAGGATTTATCGCCAGGCCATATTCCAGGCATGGATATGGGATTAGACCTGTTGAAAATCAAAATGGACTCCTAAAAATGGAGCAGCTAGAGTCTGGATGTTAGCCAGATTGATGTGAGGAATGATGTCTTTGGGAGACTTTCTGTGTAAGAGCCGAAGGAAACAGAGCTATCTTTAACTCTGCTTCTTAAATCCCTGGAAAGCCTATGGAGATCTCTTTGAACCCCTAGCCTCTCTTTCCAAGGATAGATGTAAATCCACATCTTCTGCTCTTGTAGTCTGAGAGATTCAGAGGGCTGCCAGCTTCCTTTTTTCTGGAGACAATAGATGCTGTAGGCTCAGTTTATGGGACTTAGTCACTTTGAGGTGGAGTTGTCTGGGCAAACTTAAATCCCATTGTAGCCTAGCAGGCCACATGCTGGTATTACTTGCAGAAGTAAATCTGCAAGTGGGCTAAAGTGGGACTTGAGTTATGTGTAGGCCACATGCTGGTGCTCTGTCTAAAGGAAGCATCACCACATAGGTAAAAGTTTCATAATAAAGATCTGACATGGAGATAATTTGAATGGGACATTGTCTTCCACTCCATAAGAAATATTTGCTCCTTTGTAATGAAGATACATGCAACACAGAAGGCCTGGCAAGGGTAGTGCACTAATGAGCATCTCTTCTCTTTTCCTTTCTCTGCATCTCCTGGGATTTCTAGCATCTCGTAAGTACAGCCTTCATTTTCTGTTTCCCTGTTTGTCGGTGTCCCAGCCAAAACCCTTCCCTCACCTCAATGTTCACTAGGGCTTTTCCGATTCAAGGGCTGCGCAGCCAGCTTGCCAAAGGATTGATTACTGCACCTAGTATGTATATGAGGAACAGACTACAGCCGTGCTCATTTTCAACACGGAGACTACAGCTCCCAGCATGCTTATCTTCAACTTGATCCAGTCAAACAGAGGAATTGCACGCTGAACCTGTAGTCTCCAGGGTCCACACCTGGAGCAGATACCATCATTCATTCTGGGAGCCATATTCTGGCCACCTGTACTTGCTCCAGGAGCAGTTATTGATCTGCCTTCCTACAGCAGCTGTAAAGAAACAGTGCACAGTGGTTTGCTACCCCTTCCCTTCCCTTGCCCGTGACACGTAACGTTCTGTGTGGCCTCAGCCTCTCTCTTTCAGAGCCAGCTTGCTTTTGATGTGAGGGTGGCTCCTTTCTCTCTTTCTCTCTCTCTTGTCTAGTGAGAGCGTTCTCTCTTCTGTCTCTGTGTTTCATGTTGTCTCCAGTTCAAAGCTGTGTAGTTGGTTAATGGCTTAAAATGGTTTCCCAGGGCGTTCAGGGGCTACGCAGAGAGGAAGAGACGGAAACGAGAAAATGATTCTGCAGCTGTTATTCAGAGGTAGGGCCCGTTTTCTCGCACTGCCGTAACCTTGCCTGGTGTTGCATGGGCCTTTTGGGTGTCCTCAGTGACGCACGATGGCGTTGAACATGGTTGCCCATCGTTCACGTTGCTGTTCACCGGGGATGCTAGCAAAGGCCATGCAGACAATCTGCAGGTGAATGACGCTACCTTATGCAAGCTAGCCAGTCTCTGCCTTCTTAAAGAGACACTGTCAAGCATCTTAAGCTTCAAAGCAACATGCACAAGAGCTTAAGGCCCAGATGTGTAAAACGCAGATGCATGACTTTGCAGATGCAGTTGCTGTAACTAAATCTATTTCAGTAATCATGTATGCTGATGGCTAGGTAAATGTTTAACTAATAATTTGTGCGCACACTGTTCACATTTACACTTGCATTTCTAGATGTCCAGGCCTAAATTCAGTATTAGTATAGTATCTCTGGCTTGTAAAGATCTATTATCAAATCTTTCATTCCATCACTGAGGAGCGAACCCCCCCAACATGGTCTCATCTCTGTGCTGGCTTCACAGGTTCCACGATTTAGCCAGCACTGTAATCAGAACTGTTCTAACTTCAGAAACTCAGTATATTTTTTAGCAGCTGGATGAGCAAGAGAAGACAGTATGTTTGTGACACTGGTTAAAAACAGTTCTGTTCAAAGAGGGAGAAAGAGAAAATCAGTATTTCTACAACAGAAGGGGAAAAAGGTAACAGAGAGGAAGGTATCTCTGTTGTCCAAGGTATTTGTTCTTATCTACAATGGAGAAAAACAGGAACTAAAATTACAGTCCTATAAATGGCTAGACAGTGTCTCTTTAAAAAGAAAGTGACAGCTCAGGGTTATCTAGGAGATAAGTCTGTGTTAGAGAAGACAGGCTGGACAGTGTTCGCACAGCTGGGCAGCTTTGGCGCTGGGCACTTGCCATAGATATCCGCCCAAGTCCTCCTATGTCCTGCCCTGAATGGTTAGGTTGGAGTGTAAATATAGGACAGAGTAACATTATCCCTCATGTGAGCATGCTGCATGTCCCCTTACCTCTGATGGAGGGGATCAGGGCAGGACAAGGGTGTACACCTGTTTGCATTATCTCTTGTGGTAGGATTTGGTCATAATGAATATAAAGTGGATTCTTTAGTAAGGCAGCTGCAGGCAGGGGGACCCAATGGTTTTCTGTGGCTTTCTATAACCCAGGCTAACTGCTGGCTGCCTTGCACTTAAGGGGTCAAGTAGTGAGTGGTGAATTCTCTTCCCCCAATAAATGAGACATTTTCATCTCCTCTTCATCTCCGGCCCTTTCTATTTTGAGAAAGAGGCCTGGGCATTCAGCAATGTGATGGTACTGACCATACACATTAGATGCATGGGGGGGAAAACATTGCTTTGTTGCTGAGCATGCTCCTTGGCCCTGACTGTCACCTTGGAAAGTGGAGCTCTGGGACTGAGAGTCCTTCAGCAAGATGCTGCAGGTGAATGAATGGATCTGTGACAGTCGCACAGCTGAGAGCTGGGATTGGAGCATAGTGGTCCAGGCAGACAGGAGGTGCTACTGTGGTCTTTCTGAGATTCTGATATCTTCTAATGATTTTCCTAATCTCACCAATCTCTCTTCAAGAGATTAAAAATGATGCTGTTCAGAGCGGGAATTCATCAGTCTAGATAGACCTGCAAGCTGTGCAGGGTCAGAAATGGTACCCGGGCTTGGGCTGGTTCTGCCTCAAGCATCTTTGGGATGTGATGGGTACTCTGGAGATGGTGCAGTGGCAGCACGAGCTAGGGTGGCAAGTTAGTGTCTGTTCAGCAGTAGAAAGGGTATTTCCAAAGAGTAAGAATGAGTAGCTATTTCTTTCTGTTTTTAACCCAACTGGTGTTTGCTGGATTTTGGTGGATTGAGAGATTGTGGCAAATTAAAACATTGAATCGCATTGTGCTTGGTGGGTGCAGGCATCTCTCAGTTGCTGATGATTTACCCCAAGCCCTGCCCCCATTGCCAAGGAGTATGTGGGTCATCACAGTGCTCTTCCCAAACTCGTCACTTCTGTGATTTCTACTCCTCTGAGGGTTTCTGCCCTCAGGGGCTACACCTCCCCCCCACTTTCTTTGGTTCTTCAGCTGCTGCTTATGAGTAAGGGCAGACAGCAGATGTTAGAGCAGTACAGCTGCAAGAGACAGTAAGCGTGCAGTGACCCAGTCTGGAACCAGCACTTGTGAAATGGAGCCAAATGGTCTTTGGATGCAGAGGAGGTGCAGAGGCTAGTCAGTCTAATGACAACTTCCTTCAAGAGTGTTTCTTATTAGAGGGTCAGGTAAAGGAAGCAGGAGAAGGAATCCTTTTACTC